TTTTTTTTCATGTCCTCACCAATAAATCCGTGAGTTAAACCTTTGTCGGGAATTACTGTTCCGTCAAACTATTATTTTTGACCTACCTCATAGTGCATTGAATTGATAATACAACATAGAATGTATTAATTAAAACAAGTAAATTATCAATGTAAGGCTTCAGAATAAACACTGATAAGTGCAAAGCCAGTTGTTTACCCACTTGACGGTTAGTCGCTCGCGTATGTGACCTTTGCATTTCCGTGGGTGACAAAGGGTGTTTCTCAATAGGAATCTGGAATGCTTCGATGCATGGTTGAAGCGGTCGTCGAAAGGCGCTGACTTCATTTTGCCCAATGAGTGCTGCAACATGATTAACACGGTTGCCGCGCTTAAGGCAAACATCCTGAAGTTGTGTACCAAAGAGATACAAGGGGAGGATATGGTAGGTTATTATTTGTCTACTTGACGAGGCACCATAGATTCTCAAGTCACTTCATAGATTAACCGTGGGAAGTAAGTAGAATTAAAGAATATCAAATTTCATTAAATGTGAAGATCGCATCCAAGCGACTTGGAGTGACTCAGCACCTATTTATTGTCTAGCATGAGTATCAAAATCAAACGGAAGCAAACTTGGAGAAGGTTCAACGACGCATGGCGTATATGTTGAATGAAAAACTCGGTCAAGTGCTTGATGCAACTCTTGCCAAACTTGCCCGCTACGACTCCAACACTTTTCTCTCTTCCGTTCTCTCTCTTACGGTATGGAGGAAAAGAGGTCTTTCACCCATCTCGAATTGCTGAAATTGCGCTAATCTTATGCTGTATCGATCTTGTAGAAGCCAACGGACGAAGTGGGGAAGGCTTATGTGGAATTCATGCGAGTGAATTTGGAACAGCTACGCCAAAAACTCTCGGATGAAGTCTACGTTCTCTCTGCAATGGAGGTGTGTCTGTCCTCATTTAAGTTGAAATGCTTCATTGCCTGTGATGTGAGGAATTAAGTGCTCAAGTGAGCGGACTTATGATTGTAATGTTTTAAGACACACAGGTGCAAAATATGTTTTAGGTGAAGTTGTGGACAAATTCCTCGAAGCTTTGAGCTACAAACTATTTTTTACTAACTTTCAGGCATGGTATATGTCCCAGACTCGCATGATCAATGAGTGGCTGAATGAACGAAAGAACCACTCTATCCACCCATACCAATTCACTTGCCTTTCTACGATCATGAAGGTAGCCAATCAATGGCTTGCTCGAATTTTAGACGCTCTGATGAGAACATTAAACAATTTCTTAGCAGACCTCTTTTTAAAAGTGTGTTATTTTGTTTCCCACGGGTTCACGAAGGCTTTTACTTTGATTCTCTACAGAAAATGTATTCCGACTTTGAACTGCAGGGGATTTCTCCAGACGCATTGGACACTATGATGTACAAAAATATCTCCCAACGGTTGCAGGTAAGTCAGGATTTTTAATCTACACTTTGAAGGGTTTACGAAGCTCTTACCTAACGAGCATTTAGTGCTCAGTCTAACTTGGTTTGCTCTCGCTTTATCTTTTTGCACAGAGTAGCGTAAGCAATGAAGGTCAATCACATGCTCTGAAGCATTGTATGTTTTCCCACACCCAGCTTCTATTTCACAAATCAACGATCTAATATTCATTCGAAGAACTAACACTATCTGTTATTGAACGTCAAAGATAGTCGCAAAAATGGACAGGTGTGATTTTGGCATCACCGTCTATGGCGTGATACAAGTTTTAAAATAATCTTGCGACGAGATTCTTCAACAAGATATTGGCTATTTGTCGTAGTGTGGTGCCGATTGTCAGTCGTGCTTTTGTGTTAAATTAGGTTGAAGAAGCTACAATAGCAGTGCAATCAAACTCCAATGCAAGTCCGACTCGGTCCATTCTGGGCACCATAACCGGTGGCATCAGCGGTCTCTCCAGCAGTATTCATAAGCCCAGTTTTCTCAGTCGAATCGGTTGATTTCTCACTTTCTCTCGGTGTATCTCTCTGGCCTACCTGACGTCTTCTTGGGGCCACCTTTTCATAGTAGCAATGCAATACTCGTTGGATCTCTCTGCACTACTTACTCGGCCGTTGTGCTCTTTTTCTTCCCCTACTACCACTAGTACTGCCCTTACTAAGAACTCAAGAAGATGCACTTGTATGCACATGCTAATGAGAACGCACGCCTCATGCCTGTGCATCTTAGAATACTCACTTGTCCGTCTGCAGCAATGTGCCTATTTACCTGAGGATGCTGTACTTCCAACAGGGAAGCGGAGCGGTGTTTATTTTTGTAAAATTCGGCGGACCACAAAACCGAGATGAAGGCCAAAACCACTTCTTCCTTCCATGTGTTTCGTTCACGCGTAAACTCTTGCTTCTCCCCTCCATCAATAACACAAAACCACGTCATCATCAATAGGGGCTATGTGTACTTGTGGAGAGGTGTTTGCGTGTATTTTAATGCATGTAACACCTAGTTCCCTTCATCTTTTTTCTAAAGAACACTTGAATTTTCAAACCAGTAATAAACAGTTAGCACATAAGTACATGTTTCTGTCATTTCAGTGAGTGGGAAGCCAGAATATTGAATAATATATGCTGTTGTGTAACTAGAAAAGCCGCGGATAGTATTGATAATGCATAGTTAAACATGTAAACAAGTAACAGTCTGTCAAATGACGCTCGAAAAACAAGGATGAGCCGGGCTCGTCCCGTTATCAATAATTAGTGGCATAATGTTTCTGAAAAATTGAAATTAAGCTGTGTGTGCCAATCCATGCACTTACATAAACTAAGTTTAGCGTGTAGCCCACAAAATAAAAATTAGG